TGGCGACAGTTCAGTCTAAAGAACATGGCGGCTTCAGCCGATGAAACTAGCGTTAGCGTGGCTATCGAGCAAGTTTTATTGGAATTACAGAGTATTTCTTCACTGAAAGAAGGGCAAAACACTGCTCTGGAGCAGCAAGAGTAGCCTGGCTTGTGGTTGTGTTTTCGTCGTCCAGTGTTGCCAACTCCTCAGTAAGGAAAGTAGCTATTGGCTGTGCAAGAAGTCGCTAGAAGTCGCTGAATGACGTCATTGCCTAATTTGCTAATATACATATATATATATATATATATATATATATATATATATATATATATATATATATATATATATATATATATATATATATTAGGGCTGCAACTAACGATTATTTTAAAAATCGATGACTCGGCCGATAATTTTTTTGATTAATCGATGAATCGGACAAAAAATATTTTTTATATTAACCTCTTTATTCCAAACTAAACATTTTAGACAGAACAAACAAGCACACAAGTACAGGTTGCTCATTAACTGTACTGGTGCAATATGAAAAATAAATGTTTGTGTTAAAACTACGCAAACTTACATTAGAAATTTAGCTGTAAATCCACAAAATATAGGGTACTTTGTTTCATAAAGTGCAAAAAAAGACATTTTTGTTTTTAAAAGCCCCTAAGGGGTTCAAACAATAGGCCCCCCATTTCAACAAATGAGTTTTTTTTAAGACTAGAAGAGTTCTGCCTTTTAAGACAGGAAAGTAAAGCAGTTAAAGTTGCTACTTGAGAAAATAATCATAGGGATAAAAATAGCCCTGTGATTCAAATTATAAATTGTATTTGGAATAAAAATGAGAGAACTAGGGGAGCTAAAAAACACATCCTCCAAAGACAGATATTTACATGGAAATGTGGCATATAATTAATTGACATATTACTGATCTTGCTGGATTTTATTCTGCTTTACTTCCATAAATTGCAGTCGCCCCCACGGCAGAGTAGGAACGATACATGCTTTCACGTAAGAGTCTCCAAAAGCCGCCAGTGACACCGTAAAAAGTCGCCAGATTTGTTGCTAGTCGCTTTTTTGAAAAATGGTCGCTGGAGGGGTCTGAAAAGTCGCTGAGTTGGCAACACTGCACCTCCGGCGCTGGCTCGCTCTGCCGTATTTTTTTCAGTCAAGTGGATGCGATGACGGCGGCGGTGGCTGACGCATTAATCGCGTGACACAACTAATCGATGATGAAATTCGTTGCCAACGCTTTTAAAAGTCGATTTTTATTGATTTTATCGATTCGTTGTTGCAGCCCTAATATATATATATATATATATATATATATATATATATATATATATATATATATACATATTATTATTATTTTTATTTTTATTTTTTTCCAACTTTTTTTATTTTTTTTATTTAACTTTTTCCTTTTTTCCATTGTGGTCCACTAAGGACCTTAAAAATCATGCTAAAACATGAACATTTTGAACCATAAAATGTTTTTTACATTAACATTAACAATCTAAATGGAAAAAAAAGACTACAAAGAATCAATGACAATGTGAGCAAATGGTAATGGTAATTATTGTTTTTTTGTTTTTTTTTTAACTAATAAGATTTCCCTGCACACACACAGGCTGTGCCTGCCTGCTCACAGAAAGAGTGGATCATGTTGGTCAAGGCACTCTATGGCAGGTTCAGCAACTGAGGGAGCTGACTCCAGTGATCAACCCGCGCCGTCAATCCCGGCGCATGTGCGCGGTTCATTTGCAGTCTGGACGCTGAGGGTAAACATGCTGTGTCTCTGACTGTAGCGCTGAGAGAGACTCCTGCGGAAGCGGGAAAACGGGACTGGACGGGGGGAGGCGCCCCACGGCAGACACCAGAAAAGTCGCTAGATTTGTCGCTAGTCGCTTTTTTGAAAAAGAGTCGCTGGAGGGGTCTGAAAAGTCGCTAAATATAGCGACAAAGTCGCTGAGTTGGCAACACTGTCGTCGTCGCTCTGTTAGTACGTCATATGCTTCGTTGATCTGATTGGTTTATTTGGCCTGTCTATCACCAACATAGGCCAATCAGCTAACCAGTATTTTCGCCCCTTCCCAAAATTACTTCAACGGAAGGTTTCCAAATGGATATGCGGAGCAAATCCAGCAAATCCATCTGGCGGAGTCAGGTTAAATGCAAATAGGAGAGATGAATAAAACATAATAATGTTTTATTGCATTATTTACTTAATCAGGAACCATTTACCTTTAGTTAATAAATTATTTAAGTTCTTTGAGTGAGATAGCAGCTAACAGACATGAAGCTTGTTCTAGCTTTATAAACACAGCACAGTCTGCCATGCGGCCTGTTATGTCTTTACTCAACAGTAAACACATGATATGGTCAAAATCACCAAAAGGGCATATTGTCTAACTGAAACATATGTCCCTAAATGCTCCAGATTTTCAAAACTCTGCTGCTGCCTTTGGAAGGTTTCAGGTTTTCTCCACGAGTTAGCATAGCAGCAGGCCACACGCATCAGGGGTTCTTTTGCTTCACATTAGAGAAACTTTCCTCCTTTCAAGCATCTGAAAGTTCCTGAAACTTAAATTGAAATGTTGCTAACAGTCTGTTTTGCAGCAATTAGGTCCTGAATGTCAACCATCGGGTCCAGTTAGCCTCTGGTCATTTCGCAGCATCTGGTTCCGGACATGAGGCCATAATGATGTTCCTCCGATGTAAACCTCACAGAACGTTGTGGAAAAAAGAAGAAAAAACAGGTAGAGACAGTTGCTTTATCTTAAGGCACCATGATGGTTATGCTTAATATGATGCATGGGCATTGGTTCCCAATGTCCAAAAGTGTTATTATGGTTTATGACACGATAGGAATAATGACAACAACTCGGCTCCACTTTGGAGCTATAGTTGAAATCCTCCTCTTTTAATGCCATGCCTATCAGGAACTTCTCTTGATTGTAACTTCTGGAAGTTTAAAACCTATTGAAAACCGTTAAGCATAAAATTTCACCGGTAACAATTTTTTCCACCATAGACATGTTAGACATCATTGGAAAGCTTAGATTGATCCACAACTCAATTACCAAGTTCATTTTATGGACACAGCAAGCACCAAAGCACAATTAACACTGATATACCAGCATGTGAAAATGTAAACCTGACAAAGCAACCACAACTACATACCTTTGAAGGCATCCATAAGCCGTTTTGTAAATCCTATCTTCAATTATTTATACTCCACTCATCCATAAGGGTCCACTGATTAAAAGTAATCCAGCATATTCCTAATAAAAATATTCCATGAAGAGAAAATTGCCCATAACCTTCAGTAATTGAAACCAGGCTCGGCTGGATCGAAGCGTGCGGCCCCAAGCTGAGTGACACTATTTTTTTGAAGTTTGGACGCTGATTTAGTTTTATTACAATTCCTAAAGCTGAAAAAATTCAGCTCAGAAAAGGCAAAGGGGGTTATTTTAGCTTGAAAAGCGGCATTTTTTTACTATTTTTTAAATAATAATCTTTTGTGTTTCTCCCTTCCACCACCAGAAGGCACCTGGCTCCGGTTCGCCTTCTCACGTACCTGCAAGCCTTTACCTCATCATCGGACTGCTCTTAAGCTGCTGGTTGCCACTACTTCGACGCCAGAGTGTTTGCCATTTTGGGGTACTCTAGCCAAGCCTTGTTTTATTCTGAGTCTAGTCTGAGTTTTACATTTTGAGTTTTTGTCCTCTAGTCAAGCTGAGATCTCATAGGGTTTTACTGAGCGCTTGTTTTCTCCCTTTGCCTTTCGGCAGGAAGCCTTCCTGCAAACTGGACCCTTTTGGACCGCCTCCTCCCAAGTGGGATCAACTGAGCCTTACACTGAGCAAGGGATTCAAAACAGGAGGTTTGGATCCAGCCACCTTTGAGCACGCTGAGAACTCTCTCTGAGTAAGGAAGTCATCTTCACCACGACCCGTTCAAGTACCACAGGAAAACTGAGTTGCAACCAGCGGCTACATCATTCAACTCCGTCCGAGTTCTGGGTAAACCCTGTTCCGCCCTCCACCGAATCAAACATTCTCTGGAAGACCATCACACAGACTGAAGTCTAAGTGTCTCTACTTCTCTGGAAACGTGAGTGGCAACAAATCCTCTCCTTCAAGATTGAAAACTCCAATTTCCCACTGAGCCTGAATCTAACAGCCTGTCTCCCCTTCGTCTTCCAGTTTCCGGCTGAGCAGAGTTCGGAGGAACCTTCAATATACCCTTCAATAAAACCCGTTGAACTTTTATATTGTGTCTCTCTGTTTGGCTTAATTGCATGTGGGTCCGAGCCTTAGAAAGAATCATGACAAGATTCTAAATTTTGTTATATACAGTGATTCTGAAAAGAAGCGGAAAATAATTGCCTCATAAATATTTTGTGGCCATCAAAATGCTTCAGTGTTAGTCTATGGGTGAAATAGTAAAACAAAGCATTGTAAAAGCATTTGGCACATTTGGAGAGGTTTGGAGACGCGGGTGACACCAAAAGTTCAAAACCCAACAGATCTAGAAATGTTATAGCTAGAGGTCTGAAATGTTCTGCATTTTTGGTTGACATGATGTAGAACAAATGTAATACAATGAGACCTGCCTTTTCTCAAGCATGTCTTTATTACTGCTGTTCAAAAAGACCTATAATTCGGCGTTGGCAGCCAGCCTATACATGGGTGCCACCAGGAATTTGGGGGCCCGTAAAAGGGACATGCTTGCAGAAATAGGAAAACAATAAATAATCAATGACTACTGCAAATCTGAACTTTTCCTGCTCAAATAATAGCTTGACTAATTTTTTGCTGCCCAGCCATTTTGCTACTGTAACATACACTGTGTTCTCTTATTTTTAAGGCTGCTGGCATCATTTATGCCATCTTTAGTCTCCAAAGCCATATCAATTGACAACCATCAGTGGCCCAAAGAGCTAAGCTCAGTTTGACTCCCCAAGCACCCAGCGACAAGCCTTCTAAGCATGCAAACTCATTGATTAAGTCTTTGAAGTCCAGCTTGGTAAAATTGCAAGCCTGTCCTAGGATATTGTTGACTTCTAATAGTTTTTCATCAGCTTTAGCTTACTGAAAGCTATCTCCCCATTAGCAACAGTCACAGGCAATGTACAAGATATCCTTAAAGCAATGCAGACCTCTCCACATATGCTTTGGAACTGCAACTTTTTTATGGCATTTAGGAGATCAAGAGGGGACAAGCTAGGAGAGAAAAAGATAGCATACACAGCATTCAGGGGTCTTATTTCATTCTCAATGTGAGGTATAAGATCTCTGGAATATTTCCTGATAGTGGCTGGCACACAGGTTTGACTTCATCCTCTGTAATATTCCAAACAAAATTAAAATAGCTGCAAATATGTCAGCTATTTCTGCAGTGGTGTTGAACTTGGTGTCCAAGTCATTTATAATGCTGTCCATGGCAATGAAAACCACTGTGTTTCTAAACATTGTATCTGCGTTGTCCTGAGCTATCCCCTCTAGAGAAGTCTCATCATGAAACTCATCATGAAATGTCTTCCTTTTCTTTTTCCGTCTGTTTTTCTTTACAAACTGAGATTCCACAACCAGACATGAGGGCCTCCAATCCATCTCTTAGAGATTGTAAAAGCACTGATATTGGCTATTTCTGTTTCAAAAGAGATTTTCCAGACTGGATGATCAAATTTCTTTCATCAATGCACTGTAGAACTTTGAGCCAGACAGTAAATAGCACAATGCAGTCAAATGACACAAAGTAAATCTTAAGACCATTGGCCTCTGATCTGGCTTCATTGGTAAGGCTGCATGTTTTGATTTCATGCTCAAGGTCTTCAATGACAGAGGGAAGGTGTTTTACTAGATGCTTAGCTGCCATGATCCTTGCACTCCAGGAAGTATCTGAGAGGCGACGCAAAGTGCAACCGGTTTTCTCAGCGAAGATGGCCCAGCCTTCTGGACAGGCACTGAAGAATGTGTAAAGCCGCCCACAAGATATAACGTGTGAGAAGCACAGAGGAAAAGTTGCTAAATTATTTTTCTTCAGTATCTGGGCTTGGACTCCCTTACCTTGCCATCTACAGTCTCATGTGTCAATTCATTTTTCATGAAGCACTTTTTTAATCATCTCTGCAATCTCACTGTCTGTCTTTTTGTGAAAGTCCTTAAATTCCAAGAACCGTTCTTTGATCTCCCAGTCATCAGTTTCTTTATTGTAGCTGACACATCCTTTTAAATTGTGTTCAAGACTTTTTGGCCACACAAATCAATAAATTCATTCTGAAGGTCAGATAACAGACATGGGCAATGTGGAGTCAACAAGTCATCTCCATGTCATGTATTGGTTCTACCCAGCCACTGAAGCAGGTGAGTCCAATCTTCACCGTGAATTAACCTGTGCAGATTGGACTCACCTGGTTAATTGGCTGGGTAGAACCAATACATGACATGGAGATGACTTGTTGACTCTACATTGCCCATGTCTGTCAGATAATGAGTCAGTCTAGTTCCTTCCTTATGTTCCTGACTTTTTCCAAGTGCTCACTAAGCAGTGGATCATACAACGGCAAAAGCTTGTGTGCCTCAGAAATTGCCATTATGGATATCATGAATGTGAGGGACCGAGATGAAAAGCACGAGGAGTCACAGGAATTAATACAAAAATAGTTTGTTTGTTTTTTTTTTAACCCAACAAAGAAACTTACAAAAAATACATGAGTTCAAGTCATGAAAGAGGCCAACGAAAAGGAGAAAATTTTACTCAAGCAAACGGTGCCCAAACTAACTGGCTGCATAAACAAACATAACTGACCTCAGAAATAAATGACACACAAGGGTATATATATACACTGGCTGATCAGACTGTTAACACAATAGGGGTAATTCAAACTAAACAAACAACCACAAATTACAAACATTGGCAGTACAGTTAGGTTTGGCAAAAAAAAAACAATCTATATCTTAGAAAAATGAGAACACACCAACCGCAAACAGATCCTAAGTGAAAAAATGCAAAAAATTAGAAAAGGAAAATTCAAATTCCCCCCTTTAAGCTGGAGCTGATGGACCAGTCCGATTTCCCCCTTCTGCATTTAGCAGATTTGAACCCTGACTGCCATCTTTTTTCTGGCCAAACTCCTAGGCACAATAGGTAAGAAACAGATTAGTGACAAAAACAGAAAGAAATATGAATGAGTGCAAATAAATACAGTGAACTAAATGTGCGCGCTTACAAATAGAACACATGTATTTGAACTAAGAATAAAGTTTAATTGCAAACTAAAGTATGTGTATGGATTAAATAAATAAAGGTGCATGTATAGTCCAGAGGTGTGGCCATGGGTTTGGCCATCACAATGAAGGTCTTTCGTTTTAACCCTTAATGGCAAGTTTCTTGATGCCAAGTACAAAGCTACATACAGGATTCGAATTCTGTAACTGAGAATCAATGCCAGTAACAGTGACTGCAGACTGTTGGAAAATTTTCCACTCTAAGTAACACCCCCAGTGTGCCCTATTGCTCTCGTTGTCAGGGAGTTTGTCATACATTCAGTGTCCCATTACATCAGACATTGCATAGCCATTTTTGCTGTTTAGTGCACAAAGGGATGGTCTTTTGTGCATGCGAGAGAACAGCAGACATTGAATACAATAGAGTGCATTTTTTGTTTTGCTGCAAGTCTATCAGTCTCTCTTCACCTTTTCCCTTCCATTTGCCTTACTGTACAACAAATACCCTGGGAATGGTTTTCCGTCCGAATCATGTGGCATCTGAAAAATCACGATCTCTCAGTGTCCTCACTGTAGCCTCTCTGTCCTTATTCGGATTTATTTGCTGGCCACAAACCTGATTCATCTTACTGAGAGAATAAGTTCTCAATATCTTCTCCTACAAGATCTCTTTCATCACTTTTGTAATCCATGCACCTCTCATTTTCTTCATTCTCATCACTTGCACTGTCCTTGTCTTTCCCTTCTTCCTCCACTTCTACCAGAAGTCTGTCAGCTAGCTAACAACTGAATGCTAGCGTATTTTACTCAGCAGGTGTATAATTTGAACTAACTCAGGAAAAAAAAACTTTTTTTTTAAAACTGGGTTTTACTTTTTATTTGATTAATTTTTTTTAAAACTACGTGAAAATGTAGGAAATAAAGAAACATGAAAAGGGAAGGGTCACATTGCGTGGCAGCAGCAGCCGCCAGACAGCAGAGCTGCAAGCATTTTTAAATTACAATAAATATCAAAATGTTATTCACATCAAATTGTTGGTAGGGACAATTAGGCTCGTCCAAAATTTTGGTAGGGACATTTTCCTATGCAAACCTACGACCATGGGATACACATTTAGCAGCGAGGGAATTTTACAGTCCAGAAGAGGCGCTGAGTTGCCGCCAGGAGCAAACTATCTGGCACTAGCCACTCCTGAGCTAACGGTGGTAGCTCTCATATTGTCACGGCTCAGGACCCCCGTTGCCGTTACGGTCACCTAAAGCTGTGGCTTTTTATTGTGTTGCTGTTGTTGTTACTCTGAAACCCATGGTATTCTCGAAAAGATGGGACAGTTAGCATTAATGTTGTTGGGTAATAGTTGATTGTTGAAACTTGAACTTGGGGGCCTGCAGTAGACACAAAACTAGCTAGTTCATGCCCTCTTTACTAGTTACTTTCTGAAAACCAGTATTTATTATATTTAGAGGCATATTCTTACCTCTATGTTGTCCGAAAGACACCGTCTCTGCTGTGAGGTAAAAAATAACCGTCTTCTTATTGGCGCCAATCCCGGGTTGCTAGGCAAAAACGGTTGCTATGGGGACTGACGACTTCAGCCATTCAAGGGGA